ATGACCAACGTTGATGACCCACCATGACCAACGTCTCCACCACGATGACCCACGATGACCAACCTTGCACCACGATGAGTCCTGTACTGAACCACGTCATGCCACGATGACCAACGTCCCACCACGATGACCCACATTGGACCACGATGACTAACGTGGCATCTTGATGACCAACATCCCACCACGATGACCAACCTTGTGCCACGATGAGTCCTGTGCTGAACCACGTCGCGCCACGATGACCAACGTCCCACCACGATGACCCACCATGCCCGACGTCCCACCACGATGACCCACCATGCCCGACGTCCCACCACGATGACCCACCATGCCCGACGTCCCACCACGATGACCCACCATGCCCGACGTCCCACCACGATGACCCACCATGCCCGACGTCCCACCACGATGACCCACCATGACCAACGTTGCACCTTGATGACCAACATTGCACCGCGATGACCAACGTTGATGACCCACCATGACCAACGTCCTACCACAATGACCAATGTTGCACCTCGATGACCAACATCCCACCACGATGACCAACCTTGTGCCACGATGAGTCCTGTGCTGAACCACGTCGCGCCACGATGACCAACGTCCCACCATGATGACCCACATTGGACCACGATGACCAACATTGCACCTTGACGACCAACCTTGTGCCACGATGACCAACGTCCCACCATGATGACCAACCTTGTGCCACGATGAGTCCTGTGCTGAACCACGTCGTGCCACGATGACCAACCTTGCACCTTGATGACCAACCTTGCACCACCATGACCAACGTTGATGACCCACCATGACCAACGTCTCCACCATGATGACCCACGATGACCAACCTTGCACCTTGACAACCAACCTTGCACCACAATGAGTCTCGTGCTGAACCACGTTGCACCACCATGACCAACGTCCCACCACGATGACCAACGTTGCACTTTGATGACCCACCACGACCAACATCTCACCACCCAACCCTACCAACCAACCAACCAACCAACCTCCTCAACCCTTTCCTTCACCCACCACCACCCAACCACCATCTTCAAACACCTTCAACCACCACCACCAACCACCCAACCACTCAACCACCATCTTCAAACCCCCTTCTGCCCCACAGCTCCCAGATGTTCCACCTTATGACCGTGCCGATGTTTCTTCAACCCGTAGCTATTCCTAAAACCTTCCCCGCACGTCCCGCACTTGAAGGGTCTCCCACCTCGATGACTTTCCAGATGTTTACTAAAATATTTAGGATCTTTGAAGAACTTGAGACAAGAAGAACATCTCAAATCATCTCGGGCATCATCATGAGAACGTTGATGTCTTAAAATAGAAGACAAGTAGAAGAAACTCTTCCCGCAAAGTTCACACCGATACATTTTGTCACCTAAATGAACACGACGATGTTCTAACAAATTCGATCGATACCGGAAGGTTTTCCCACAGATGTGACATCTTTGAGGACGTGCCACCACGTGAAGACGTTGATGTTCTGCTAAACTAGAAGATTGAGCGAATCTTTTATTGCAGAGAGCACATTTATAAGCACGTTCTCCAGTATGGACCACTTTATGTTGTCTCAAATACCACGACCTCAAAAAACCTCGACCGCAAACGGCGCATCGATACGGACGTTCTTCGGTGTGACAACGTTGGTGACGCATCAACAAAGTGGCTTCCCAAAAACGTTTGCCGCAAACCGGACACCGGAAATGATGTTTTTCTAAATGACGTCGACGGTGAAGGAGTAAATCGTAGACGCCGGTGAAGTTTTGACCGCAAACACCACAAGTTAAGGTCTTGCGGACGAGGTGGACGTATTTATGGGTCACCAAGGTTAAGAAGTGTTTAAAGGTTTGACCGCAAGTCCCACAAGTGAAACGTTCACCGCTGGGTATCACCGGATGTTCTTCGGTTGGTTGGAAGATGTTGTCGGTTGAAAGGGTTAAAAATCTTTCGGGGTTGGTTTGGTGGATCAGTTTGTGCCACATCAAGTTCTCGATCAAAGCGAAAGCGTGGCCGCAGGAATCGCAGGAGAAAGGTTTGTCGTGGATGTGAAGTTCTTTGTGGTTCACGGCGCGGAAAAGGTCCGGGAAACGTTGGCCGCAGTCGGAGCAACCGTAAGTCAAAGCGTCGGGGTTGGGTGGGGGGATGTTGGGTGGGTTGATGTTGGTTGGGTTGATGTTGGTTGAGTTGACGTTGTTGGTTGAGTTGATGTTGTTGGTTGAGTTGACGTTGGTCGCATTGACATTGGTTGAGTTGACATTGGTTCTGTTGATGTTGGTTGAGTTGACGTTGTTGGTTGAGTTGATGTTGTTGGTTGAGTTGACGTTGGTCGCATTGACATTGGTTGAGTTGACATTGGTTCTGTTGATGTTGGTTGAGTTGACATTGGTTGTGTTGACATTGGTTGAGTTGTTGATGTTCGAGTTGACGTTGTTGGTTGAGTTGTTGATGTTGCCATTGGTTGAGTTGACATTGGTCATGTTGACATTGGTTGAGTTGACGTTGGTTGAGCTGTTGACGTTGGTCACGTTGACGTTGGTTGAGCTGTTGACATTGACATCGGTTGAGTTGCCGTTGGTTCTGTTGATGTTGTTGGTTGAGTTGACGTTGGTTGAGTTGTTGGTTGGGTTGTTGGTTGAGCTGTTAGTTGGGTTGTTGGTTGAGCTGTTGGTTGGGTTGTTGGTTGGGTTGTTGGTTGAGCTGTTGGTTGAGTTACCATTGATCACGTTACCGTTGATACTGATGATGTTCCCAAACCCACCCGGTAACGGCAAACGATGAATTTGCTTGTGCCGAGTCAAACTTTGAGGGTAACCAAAGGTCTTCCCGCAGAGCTCACACTTGTAGGGCCTCTCCCTGGTGTGAACCACGTGATGTTTGCTCAGGTGGAAGGACTCCCGGAACCTCTTCCCGCAGACGGCGCATTGATGAGGTTTCTCACCCGTGTGGATCCTCTCGTGACGTTTCAACGTCTCCCGACGCCCAAAAACTCGACCGCAAATCCCACAACCAAAACTTTTCCCTGTTGGGGTCAACATCATCAACCCCCCCAATGATGATGATGATGATGATGATGAGGAGGAGGAGAAAAAACTCCCCCCCACCACATCGCTCGTCTTCGTTTCTCCATCCGCCGCCGCGTAAACGCCGCCGAATAGCGACGCCGTCGTTTTGGTGACGCCGGGATACGGCGCCGAAGTCGTTTTGGGACCTACCAAATGACTTTGACGATGTCTCAAGAGACTTTGAGGAGCGGCGTAGACCTTCCCGCAGATCTCACACTTATAATCGGGGCGTTGAGCATTATGGGATGTTTGATGACGTAGAAGATAGGCCGGATCGCGGAATTCCTTGCCGCAAACGCCGCATGGGACACGTAACAACCCCGAGTGGGTCTTGACGTGCCGGGTGAGACTCTCGCGGCGGTTGAAGCTCTTGGAACACACCGTACAACTAAAAGGTTTCTCACCGGTGTGGATGATTTGATGTTGGTGGAGATGACTTGGTTTCTTAAAGACTTTCCAACATAAAGAACAAGTGAAAGGACCATCCGAAGAGGGAACGTTGGGTGTTGAGTTGATACCACCACTTGGGATCAAGGTGACTCCACTCGGTGTTGGGATGACGCCGCCGCTGGGGGTTAAAATGATTCCAGATGGTGTCGGGATGACGCCGCTCAACACCGTGGTGGTGCCGTTGGGTGGTGGGATGATGCTGCTCAAGGTGGAGTTGATGTTGTTGGGTGGTGGGTTGATGTTGTTGGGTGGTGGGTTGATGTTGTTGGGTGGTGGGTTGATGTTGTTGGGTGGTGGGTTGACGCCGCTCACCAGGTTGACCCTGGGTGCAACATTGACCCCGTTGGGTCCAACGTTGACCCCATTGGCCGCCGTGTTGACCCCATTGGGTCCAACATTGACCCCATTGGCCGTGTTGACCCCGTTGGCCGCCGTGTTGACCCCGTTGGGTCCAACATTGACCCCATTGGGTCCAACATTGACCCTGTTGTCCACTGTGTTGACCCCATTGGCCACCGCGTTGACCCCGTTGGGTCCAACATTGACCCCGTTGGGTCCAACCTTGACCCCATTGGTTGACCCCGTTGGGTCCAACATTGACCCCATTGGGTCCAACATTGACCCTGTTGTCCACTGTGTTGACCCCATTGGCCACCGCGTTGACCCCGTTGGGTCCAACATTGACCCCGTTGGCCACCGCGTTGACCCCACTCGCCACCACATTGACTCCATTGGTCACCGCCAAGACCCCAGCGGCCCCACTAGTCACCGGTACAACCCCAGACGTGGTGGTGGCCACCACCGTGGTGGTACCACCAGTGGTGGTAACATCTTGAGTAGGTTCTTTATGACAACGCCGATGACGGATAAGACTGGAAACGTGGTTGTAGGCGCGACCGCAAGTGCCGCACTCGTAAGGTCTCTCCCCGCTGTGGACCAACATGTGTTGGACGAGGTGAGAAGATTGTTTGAAGGACTTTTGACAGACACCACATGGAAAACGTCTCTCCATGAAATATTTCAAGCGGCGGAAATAATTCTTCTCTTCTTTTGATGTCCCATCCGGTGATGACGTCACCGTGGTGGTCACCGTCGTCGGTGTCACCGTCCCACCACGTTTGAATCCACCGAGTAGATGTTGGTGACTAGAAAGATCTACGATCCCCCATGGAGATGGGTTGAAAGGGTTGGTGACATCAAAGAGAGGTTGAGATGATGATGATGATGATGATGAT